GACTGCTTTGGCCTCAGATCAGGCTGGGCTCGAGTAAGGCCCTGCTGTCTCCGCAGGATTAAAAGGAGTTACTCTTTAACGAGGCTGGCTGCAGTCTGTCTTAGGGCACCCTGACACACTGCAGAAGATACCAGTATTTAATGAGGACTTTGACCCCTCATGACCTTTGCTGCAAAGCACAATAAGCCTGTCCTTAGGAGAAACAATTCATAATGTAAAACCCATTCACTAGCAAAATAATGAGGTACTGCCTAGTCATCCAGACACCACACAGGTGTCTCAAAGAACTAACAACCCTGGACCCCATGATATCAACACAGACACCACCCCTCCAAGCACGACCTGCCCCCCCCCAAAAAAAGAATACTTTTGTGCCATTTCTCTCTACTATCTTACCTGCTGGGGCTGTTGTGCAGCAGTACATCTAATAAGTTTAGTATTTTGTATTCTTGTTTGTTTGTTTATTTATTTATTATGTACTGTGTTCTGTTCTTCCTGCATGTACAGCTGCTGGCCAGAAGAGAGCACCAGATCTCATTATAGATGGTTGAGAGCCACCATGTGGTTGCTGGGAATTGAACTCAGGACCTCTGGGAGACCAGCCAGTGCTCTTAACCTCTGAGCCATCTCTCCATTTTTTTTTTTTTTTTAAAGATTTATTTATTATGTATACAGTGTTCAGCATGCACACCAGAAGAGGGTACCAGATCTCATTATAGATGGTTGTGAGCCACCATGCGGTTGCTGGGAATTGAACCTAGATCCTCTGGAAGCCATCTCTCCAGCCCAGTACTTTGCATTCTTGTTGAATTCTTTCACTGCCTGCACTTCACCAGTCTGTCACTGTATCTTCTGGCATGGCACCAAGGGCATGTCCCATTGTTGCATGGAACTTTATAGATAAGTTCTTAAGAACTTCAACAGTGGGCTGGAGAAAGATGGCTCAGTGATTATGTTCTGGAGGCCCCAAGTGCAGTTCCCAGCACCCATGACACACAAATACACATAATTTAAAACAATACGAAGTTTGCCAGGTGGTGGTGGTACACACCTTTTATCCTAGCATTTGGGGGGAAGAGCAGGAGGATCTCTGAGTTGGAGGCCAGCCTGGTCTACAGAGCAAGTTCCAGAACAGCTAGGGCTACACAAAGAAACCCTGTCTTGAAAAAAACAAAACAAAAACACCAAACCAAAGCCCCTAAACAATACAAAGTTCAAACAAACTACAAGCAAATGGTCTAGCAGTCACAGTGCCTAAAAACTGAAGTGTAGGGTTTTGTTTTGTTTTGTTTTGATTGTTGTTGTTTTGTTTTTTTGAGACAGCATTTCTCTGTGTAGCCCTGGCTGTCCTGGAACTTGCTCTGTAGACCAGGATATCCTCCAACTCAAAGATCCACCTGCCTCTGTCTCCAGAATGCTGGGATTAAAGGCGTGCACTTAAGTTTTTTTTTCCTTGGCAACAACTTTCCACTGTGCCCACTTGTTTCCACTCCCTGATCACTGTTAAATGGTTGCTGACAGGCAACTGGTCTGCAATCTTCCTAAAAAAAATTTGTTTATTTGGTTTGTGTATGTGTGTGTGTCTGACTGTATGTCTGCATACCACATGCATGAAGTGTCCTTAAAGTACACAGGATGGTACCAGATACCCTGAAGCTGGAGTTACAGGCCATTGTGGGCCACCTGACATTGCTACTGGGAACTGAACTTGGGTCCTCTGCAAGAGCAGCAAGTGCTTTTTTTGTGGGGGGGAGGGGGTTGAGTGTCCCGCACTAACCGTCTCGCCAGCAAAAAACGACACGGCACACTCCTCAGGATCCTTCTGCAGTAAAGCTTTAATGCGTCTTGAGAGAGAGAGCGTAAGCTTACAGAGCGGAGACTCCGAACACCCAAAAACCCCTCCTTATATAGGCTGGCAACCGCCGCCTCTCTCTGACTGGCTGAAGCTCGTCGGACCATATGACGTCAGCTGATCGGACCATATGACGTCACGGGAGGGACAGAGACTAAGGGCTGGAAAGTTACAAAGTTACCTAGTGCACATGCGCACTAGCTTGTAACAGCTCCTTACAGTTGAGCTTTTATTTTCTATTTCTTTTATTTTAAAACAAGCTTTTCTCATTTTATAGACCAATCCCAGTTCCCACTCCTTCCCCTCCTCCTGCTCCCCCCACCCTACTGCCCCTTCACTCCTCAGAGAAGGTAAGGCTTCCCATGGAGAGTCAACTAAGTCTGGCACATCACTTTGAGGCAGGACCAAGATATTTCCCCCTATATCTAGGCTGAGCAAGGCATCCCTCCAAAGAGAATGAGCTCTAAAAAGTCAGTTCAAGCACCAGGAAAAAATTCTGGTCCCACTTCCAGAATTGGGCCCCACAGACTTCCCAAGCCACACAATTGACACCCATATTCATAGGGCCTAGTTTGGTTCTATGCAGGTTCCCCAGCTGTCAGCCGTAGTCAGTGAGCTCCCACTAGCTCAGGTCATCTGTTTCTGTGCTCTTAACTGCTGAGCCATCTCTCCAACCCCTGCCTGCAATCTTAACTGAAGCCAGGGAATAATGGATGGCAAGTTCCTTGGGCTGAAAAATTGGAATCCAATTTCAGCACCAAGGGCAGAATTCCATAATTCCAAATTATGAGCTCCATTAGTTTGATCCTAAGGGATGGGAGGTAGATGTTGAAGAAAAAAGACCTGACCCTCTGAGCTTGTGGCTTGTGGCTTGTTGAGGGCAGTGGAAGTCCTCTGGAGCACATACTGTAGGCAATGTGTTTCCTCTTCCTTCCTTCCTTCCTTCCTTCCTTCGTTTCTTTCTTTCTAAAAATAAACTTGTTAAGGGCTGGAGAGATGGCTTAGCAGTTAAGAGAACTGACTGCTCTTCCAGAGAACTTGGTTCAATCCCAGCACCCACATGGCAGCTCACAACTGGAGTCTGCAACTCCAATTACAGTGGATCCAATGCCCTCTTCTGGCCTCTGTGGGCACCAAGCACACATGAAGTACAGACATATATGCAGGGAAAACACCCATATACATAAAACAACACAATCACAAATTGTGTGTGTGTGTGTGTGTGTGTGTGTGTGTGTGTGAGAGAGAGAGAGAGAGAGAGAGAGAGAGAGAGAGAGAGAGAGAGAGAGAGAGAGAGAGAGAGAGAGAGAGAGAGAGAGGACAAATTTGATTTGCATGGTCAGTTCTCTCTAGCTTCCAGTGTCTGGGTGATTGAGGTCAGGTTTCAAAGTAAGCACTTTTACCCTCAGGGCTTTGTCTTCCTGGGCTTGCAACAGGTTTTTGTTGGGGCCTCAAGTCACTTCAGGTAGAGCTGGCTGTTTCCCCACCACAATCTTATCACAACAGACTAGTATTCAACCTGCTGTTTGCTGACATGGGCTTGTTTTCAAGTGCCTTTGGAGGATTTATTTTTGGGAGGACTCCTTTCCACTGCTTTTGCTGAGACCCACAGCAGTTCTAGTATACCTTGAGGAAGCATGCTACTTTGCTAGACACTAGATGGGTTAGGGACAAAGAATAGCACCCATTTTCTCTGGGTGCCAGTGGGAAGGCTTTTCAGCCATGAATAATAGGGTTTATCAGAACTGTCTAGCTAAGTGCTGCTCAGTCCGCTGGCATGGGGCCTGGGTTGGAGTGAAGCACTCTAGAATCTGAGTATAGGTGGATATAAAGGCCACAGTTGAGGTTTTCATGCAGAAAGAGTAAGCCCACCTGGGCCACCCTGAGACCTCACATATTGTCCGGTCTGCCCGCCCTGCCTCAGATGGGTGCTCTATGGATGTGTACACATCACCATCATGAATGAAGGCTGGGCCTGGGGATGACTAGCACACTGGCACGTACCTACAAAGGCTCTCACTTGCAATCTCTGAGCAATCTCTTCAGCCCCTCAAATCTTAAAAAAAAAAAAGCGGCTTTCAACTCTTGCTATTAAGCAAACAGAAGCTATCAAACACAAATCATCTTGATAACCCCTGCTACAGTGACTTACCATTCCAGGCTACTGAGGTATAGTATAAAACCCATACTGGACATGGAGGCAGAAGGCCAGGGCTGTCCAATCTTGGCCTGCCCTGCCTTTTAGAACTGCCTGCCTTTTAGAACTGCCAGGCCTGGGTAAGTTGGAGACAATAAATCTTAAGTTTTCCCAAGACTGTTGAGTACACAGTAATATATAGAGAGGTGTATTTTCTTTGCCTATCCAGAATATGCTTGGTCACAGTAACATATAGAGAAGTGCTTGTTCTTTGCCTATCCAGGATATGCTCTTGGCCTGTGTGTACAGGGTTATGCTGCTACATTGTGGATCCTTGCATAACACTCCCCAACACCAGACCAATTTAATGAAACAAACAAAAAATATTGTTTTAAAAACTGCTGTATTCAAAATTAATAATAAACTTTAAGGTAAATAAGCTTTAAAACAAAAGCTTAAGAGCAAAAATAAATAATTTACACAACTCACTAACCCAGTTTTTAGGGTAAATCCATTTCCAACCATAGGACTATAAGCCTAGACTGGACCTCAGGGAAACTCATAGTTGATTATCATAAAAAAAAAAAAAAAAAAACAGTAGCAAAAAATCAGAAGGTTGAGTAGAATTTTTAACAACCCACACACTAGGAATTCTTCCTTTGTTTTCCGAGGAAGTATTTACTTTGTAGTCCAGAATGACCTGGATTCACTACGTATTGGAGGACCGTCTCAAAGTTGTCATACTCCTTCTGCCTCCGCTCCCTCCACACAGGGATTACAGGTACAGGCCACCATGCCTCACCAAGCTGCAAACACTGAATTGAATGTTTTACTTTAAAATAACCAAACTTTTTAATTTTATACACAATCCAATGTAATGCTAAAATAATAGGCATTTTAGTTTGAAGAAGTGTTATGTAACAGGGATGGGACACTACAAATGAGGTCTTCAATCCTTGAAATACAAATAAAAATGGGTGTGTAGTGGGACAAAAACTCCAGACACTTAACTTGAGGGACACCTGAAGGCTTGCATCCTTTATTTTCTGAGATGGCTTTGAAGTTATGACTGTTTGACATGGAGAGCCGTCGGCATGTTAGAGACAGCCTTTATTTTGTTTTTTTTTTTCACAGTAAGTTAAAATCTCATCTTGACTCTCTATAGACCTGGATGGTCCTGTGGGTGGATTCCAGAAGTCGGCTGTGTGATAGAGTAACATGAAGAGTTGCTGTAGTGCCCTAATTTCATACTTCCTTGTACACAATGAATCACTTTAGGAATTTATTCCAGGGGCTATGTACACAAAAGTGTCAAGAAGAAAGTGTTCTCCACTCTTGCATAAAAACGTGTACAGTGCTTCAGGAATGGAACTTCCGCTCTGCAGGGCGGGGCCTCAAGGATTTCTGTAGCCAGAAAATGAAAGGCTCCTGCCTCCTGCTTTATTGCTCTGTGGCTCTGAGTATTAATCATCCAACCCTGGCGTTTCTCCTTGTTGGATCCTAGATGCTATCCTGATAGCTTCTTCCAGAGATGGCTGCTCTCCAAGCTGAAACCAGAACACATACATCAAACATTAATAATCCAAAACCCTAATCTGGGTGATGCTACAGAATTGTTTAATGGAAGAAGAACAATTTTTCTCTCTCTAATTCTGATGCTTGGGATTTCTAAAATATTTGTTAATTTGATCACTAACAGTATAAAATCAAAACATATGAGAACAATGGAGCTAATTTTAAGATCTTCAAATGCCATGTCACCACAGTCAATGGAGCGCTTCCTCAGCAGTTAGGTTCTGCATCCATGAACTAAAGAAAGCTAACCAATGGCTGGCATTTTCCCGTTTATTAAGTAAACATAGGAGAAACTACTCCCCAGGTACAGAAGCTATCTGCACCTGGCATGGTTTATATTCTCTGCTGGGAACAGGGACTTTCCCAGAGAATGCTTCTTCCATGTCTTCTGACTGACAGGCCTCACTCTGGGGCTATGTGGGCACTCTTGGAGGAATCACTGAGGGTCCGTTCACAGCAGGTTCACTTCCAAGGAGTAGCTTCCATGTGCTTTATTTATAAAACCCACCTCCTTAGACTCCATCTTGACAGTGAAGATGGCTGCTTGGGTACACACAAGGACACACTTCTGACAATTTTTCTCTTGCTATAAATTCCCCAAGAATATACAAAGCAAAGGCAGTAAAGAACACTGCTAGTTTATGTTTTGATTAAGGCCTCATATAACTTAGGTCAATGACCTTCATTCAACTTCTTATCTTCTTGCCTCTACTTCTTGAGTGCTCAGATTACAGGCCTGAGCTACCAGGCCTGGTTTATGTGGTCCTGGGGAAACACCCCAGGGTTTCTTTTTCTTTTTCTTTTCTTTTTGTTTTTTTTCGAGACAGGGTTTCTCTATGGCTTTGGAGGCTGTCCTGGAACTCTCTCTTGTAGAGCAGGCTGGTCTCGAACTCATAGAGATTCACCTGCCTCTGCCTCCCAAGTGCTGGGATTAAAGGTGTGCGCCACCAACACCTGGCTTAGACCCCAAGGTTTTCTGCATTCCAAACAAGGATTCCACCACCTAAGCCATACCCCCAGTTTTGGTCTGTTTTTGAGTAGGGAAGGGTTCTGAGAAAGGGTCTCTACACAGCTCTGGCTGTCCTGGAACTCACTGTATAAACTAGGCTGGCCTTGAGCTCACACAAATCAGCTTGCCTCTGCCTCCTGGGTGCTGGGATTAAAGGCACATGCCACCATTGCCTGGCTTCTGGTCATTTTGAGATCACCTCCATTATATCAATTGTCTTCAAGTTAGGCACCCAGATGATTTTGTGCATGGCATAAACACGGAAGTTACACATAAGACCCAGAATGTCAGGTTGAGAACTATGAATTACTGCTGCCTACCTAACTTGTACTCACCTGAACTGCAATCTGGGTACCATTGGATGTTGCCACCAAGGTCAGAGGTCTGGTTTCTGTAGTTACTAAATGATGGCTATGTTGTTGGTGTCCCATTTCTGAAGAGGCTGTGTGGAATGCTGCCAGGTCTTGAGCCACAATTGCAACCTTAAGTGAAGCAAAATGAACAAAACACACATGAAAAATTGTATCTATGACTCAAATAGGTTAAAGTCTACTTTGTGTGAAGGACCAGAGAGAAGTAGGCACTTACTGCTGAAACAGCCCTTATGCACTGTCTAGGCTGGACTCTTTCATCTGAGGAAGTTAAGGCTCCCTTAGATGGGATTTACCTATGATCATGAAGTAAGCTGATGGCAAAACAGGTAGAGTACTGGAGAAATGGATCTGCCATGTCTAACTTCACTGGCTCGGGAGATGAGGTTCTGCTACCCTAAATGGATGATGAGGAAGTCATAAATGTTGACTCATACCACAGATGTCTGTTTATTCCTGAGAGTGGACTGGACTATTTTCTCCTTTTGCATTTAAAATTAGACTTCCCACTTAACTGAGAACCCGGAAGGACTGGTGACATGACTGACGAACAGCAGGGTACATTCCCCACCTACACTCACGAATCTTTGCAGTATCTCCTGAAGCCTCTTGCTACAGTTATAAACTAAACTTTATTTATTATGTGTCTGGGTGTTTGGCTGGCATGTATGTCTGTGTACTACTTGTGTGCCAGGTGCTGGAAGGAAGAGGCCAGACGATCCCTGGGACTGGAGTTACAGAAGCTCGTGAGCTGTCATGTGGCTGCTGGGACTTGAACCAGGTCCTCTGGAAGAACAGCTCTTAACCATTGATCCATCTCTTTAGCTTTGTTCTGGTGTTTTGTTTATTTGCTTGCTTATTTGTTTTTGAGACAAGATCTCACTAAGTATCCCTGGCTGGCCTGAAAATTGCTCTGTACACCAGGCTAGACTCAAACTCAAAGATCTGCTTGCTTCCGGCTCCCAAGTGCTAAGACTAAAGGCACGCACCTGTATGCCTAGCTGTATTTCTTTCTTTCTTTCTTTCTTTCTTTCTTTCTTTCTTTCTTTCTTTCTTTCTTTCTTCTTTCCTTCCTCCCCCCTCCCTTCCTTCCTTCCTTTCTTTCTTTTTTGGTTTTTCAAGATAGGGTTTCTCTGTGTAGCTTTAGAGCCTGTCCTAGAATTCTCTCTGTAGACTAGGCTGGTCTCAATCTCACAGAGCTCCTTCTGCCTCTGCATCCCAAGTGCTGGGATTAAAGGTGTGCACTAGTGTGTGTTTCTAAAATTTAATTTTAATGTGCTTATGTCTATGGAACTCTATGCTATGTGTGTGTGGGTACCCTTGGAGGCTAGCTGAAGTTACAGGCAGTTGTAAGATGCTTAATATGGCTGGGCATAGTGGTATATGCCCTTAATCCCGCACACTGGAAACAGAGGCAGGCAGAGGCCAGGCCAGCCTGGTTTACAAAGCTAGTTCCAGGACAGCCAGAGTTACACAGAGAAACCCTGTCTCAAAAAAAAAAAAAAAAGCCTAATATGGGACTTGAATTTGGGTCCTCTGGAAGAACAGCAAGAGCTCTCTTGTAACCACTGAGGTCTCTCTAGTCCCTCATTTCTTTCATCCCACTATCAACTTTTTTGGTGCTGATGTAACTATCGCTCCTATTTTACAGATAGAGAAAAAAATAGCACTGAGGACTAACTGGCTAAAGAAGTTATAAAACTGGGAGTCAGCCTGAAGTACACATGCCTACATAGGAACATACAACACAGCTTCTATGGAAGTTGACAGTGATGTATATATCGACTAACAGTGAACAAAAGTAGTTACCTGCTGTCCTTCTGTGCCCTCAGCGGTGACCATAGCAACAGAGTGTGTTCCTGCTGAGGAGATGACTGCATCGTGAGTGGGGACCGTGATGGGTGTGCCATCCTGTGTTACCATGGTGATGGTATTGCCAATGGCCTGCATGTCAGCTTGAGATATGTTGACCTGCAAAAACAGTGCATTTTACAAAATCAGTCAATATTTCTAGTTACATTTGGCGATCTTAAAGATTTTTTTAAAAAAGATTTTATTTATTTATTATGTATACAACATTCTGCTTCCATGTATATCTGCACACCAGAAGAGGGCACCAGATCTCATAACGGATGGTTGTGAGCCACCATGTGGTTGCTGGGAATTGAACTCAGGACCTCTGGAAGAGCAGCCAGTGCTCTTAACCTCTGAACTATCTCTCCAGCCCCCAGATCTTAAAGATTTTTATTTATTTATTATATATACAGTGTTCTGGCTACATGAATGCCTGCATTCCAGAAGAAGGCACAAGACCTCATTACAGATGGTTGTGAGCCCCCATGTGATTCCCAGGAATTGAACTCAGGACCTCTGGAAGAGCAGCCAGTGCTCTTGACCTCTGAGCCATCTCTCCAGCCCCACATCTGGTGATCTTAACTGAGGACAGAGCCTAATCCTTTCGTAAGTTTACTCTGTGGGAGCAAACAAACTTTTTACAGTGGAATACACTCTTTAACTCATCAGGTAAGTCATGTCTTTTTTTTCCTCCACAGACAGGTCTTATTCTTTTACCCACGATGGAAAGGAACACTCCTGCCTCAGATTTCTGTTTACTGTGATTATAGTTGTGGGTCTCTATGCCCAGCTTAGACCCTTACTTCTGCCATAATCTATTATCTATACAGATATTGGGCCTAACTCTTTCCATCTATACCTTGACACCTTGCATCCTGCTCCAACCTCCCTTCCTCCCCTCCCCTCCCATCTCTTCGGTTTTTTGTTTGTTTATTTATTTATTCATTTTTTCCAGACAGGGTTTCTCTGTAGCTTTGGAGACTGTCCTGGAACTAGCTCTTATAGACCAGGCTGGTCTCGAACTCACAGAAATCCGCCTACCTCTGCCTCCTGAGTGTTGGGATTAAAGGCGTGTGCCACCACCGCCCAGCCTCTTCGTTTTTTTGGGACAGGATTTCTCTGTGTAGTTTTGTAGACCAAGCTGGCCTTGACTCACAAAGATCTGCCTGCCTCTGCCTCCCAAGTGCTGGCTAGCTACTTTTTCTTTAAAAAGATTTATTTGTGTACTTATATATTTGAGTATTTTGTCTACATATATGTTTGCACACCAGAAGATGGCATCAGATTCCATTACAGGCAGTTGTGAGCCACCACGTCAGTTCTGGGAACTGAATTTAGGACCCCTGGAAGAAAAGCCAATGCCCCTAACCGCTGAGCCATTTCTCCAGCTCAGATGTATTAAAGCTCACAGTCTCCTTGTGGTTCTCATCTTTGTCACTTCACCTTGAGCCACACCAACCAACCCTATTTGGATCCTACGGATACAAATATCCTCTACTATTATTACTTCATAATATCTTTCTCAACAGATTATGGAAAACTCTGGGAGATCTACCACTTTCTAGAGCAATGTTTCTCAACCTGTGTGTGGTCATGATTCTTGGGGCAGTCAAACAACCCTTTCACAGGGGTTGCCTAAGACCACTGGAAAACACAGATATTTGCTATGATTCAAAATAGTGGCAAAGTTACAGATATGAAGTAACAATGAAAATAACCGTTATGGTAGGGGTCACTACAACATGAGGAGCCGTATTAAAGGGTTGCAGCATTAAGAAGGTTGAAAACCAATGGTCCATATGCCGAAGCCCAAACTTCATGCTTTGGGTTTCCTCCATGGGGACTCAGCCTGTCTTTCAGTTCCAGGTGCAAAGAAATATTTAACTTCCTTGGTTTTTAACAGATACTTACATGTTGAGTCCCATCCTGGGATATAAGTGTAACTTGTTGACTCAGCCCAGACTGGGTTACTGTAGCTACTTGTGTAGATACAATGTCCTCTCCTTCTACACCTGTAACATATGTGATCTGGGACCCTTTAAGAACATCATCACCTTGACCTGTTTAAAACAAATGAGTAATTTACTTGATCAACTAATCAATCTATTTGGACATTAGAAATTTTAAATATGAAACAGAAAAAAGAATTGAGAGCTGGGCATGCCTATCATTTTAGTGCTTAGTAAGTGAAGGTAGCTCAAGGGAACCTTGGTTACACAGGGAGTTCAAGGTCAATCTGGGTTATACAAAACCTTGTCTCAAAAAACAACAAAAGGAAACAAAAGCCTATTTTTATATCCTTAACCATGAAAATAGTTTTCAGGACTGCTTATTAATTCTTCTAAATTCACTTCTGCCAAGCCAAGTTCAATCGAACTTGAGTGTTGTGATTTCGTAAGGGCTCTCCTTTACACTTAGATGGAATGATTATGTGCCATTGTGCACATACATACTGGGGACACAAAGGAGGAATTATAGACAAACACAGACTTGCCCCTCCCAGTAGTGCAAGTCTATTCCAAGTTCCTTAAATTATTTAAGATTCATGATGGTAATAAAAGAGTCTCTATAAACATTAACCACAAAACCAGAATGGCTTGTACACAGAATCTACTAACTTACTCAGTCTTTTCCACATGTGATTGACAGCAAGCTATTGGTACACAATGACATCACTGTGTAAAGACTATGCAATGGCATGTTATCTGGGCTGAAGTTAATCATTTAATAAGTAACACAACAGGAACTTTAGTCCAGTTCTTTTTTTTTTTTTTTCTCACAAAGAATCAGCAAGTGAGCCAGACAGAAAACCTGTCTCAACAACTGCCCCCTGACAAAAAAAGGATCAGAAAGTGAATGATGAGTTCAACATCCAGAACTGCTAGACTGGGCAACCAGGAAGATTACTGATCTCTCTCTTCTCTCAACACTTAACAGCTTCCATGGAGCACAAAGGAAAGTCCCCCTTCAAAAAGAAACTTAATACTCTAAGTACTAATCTAAGAATATTAGCATATAAAGGATTTTAGATAGCAACAATCACTGAGGTGTAATGTTCTTACATATATCACTTTGCACCTTTTCTTTTCATTTGTTTATACACCATTATTCCAAGTGTTACAAACCTAGGGGATCCTGTGAGAAAAAGGAGCACAAATCTGTCTTTTTAGAAAAGCGATCATAGTTGGGTTGTTTGTTTGTTTTGAGACAGGGTTTCTCTCTGTAGTCCTGAATGTCCTGGAACTCACTCTATAGATCAGGCTGGCCTCAAACTCAAGAGATCCATCTGCCTCTCTCCCAAGTGCTGGGATTAAAGGCCTGTACCACTACTGCCAGGCCAATAATTTTTAAAACATATTATATAATAAGCTATTTTATAGAACAGAAACTTTTTATAATCTGAGATATCAACATACGAGGAGGAGACTAAAGACGCTTGGAAAAGGAGGAGTCTTTTTTTTTTTTTCTTTTTTTCCTTTTTTTTCGAGACAGGGTTTCTCTGTGAAGCTTTGGAGCCTATCCTGGCACTCACTCTGTAGACCAGGCTGGCCTCGAACTCAGAGATCCTTCTGCCTCTGCCTCCCGAGTGCTGGGAGTGGTGTGTGCCACCAACGACAGGCTGGCAGAAGAGACTTTAAAGATGTAATTAGGAGACCCAGAGGCAGAACTGCCATATTGGCTAGGCTTCCTCCAAAGTCTCCAACTTACTTTCCTCTCACCAAGCACTTAGCTTTTTCCATTTGTCAAGCCCTCTATCTATCTGCAAGTCTCTTTGCCTTAGATCTGTTCTTTTCCCTTCCCCCAGGCCTTGCTTCTTTGCCTCCTTAATCCCTTTCTACCCTCATAATCTTTCCAAAAACATTTCTTCAGGAAGCTTTCTTGGCCCTCACAGAAGATACTAAGTCCCCCTCTTCCACAACCCAGAGCACCTGTAAACTTCTGCAGCACTTGCCAGCTGTAAATCAGGTTTGTGTGAGTGTATGAATGAAACGAAAGGATTTGAGAAAATAGCATGGGTCATATGTTCATACTGATAACTGATTCTCAAACTCAAAGCAGATAGAATTGTCAAAGCTCTCACCTGGGGGAGGCTCGAAGAAGGCTTCCTGCTCCTCCTCAATAGGCTCTGTGTCATTGTGAGCTGTCCGCTTGTGCATAGCCAGTGTGGAGATCTGTTTGTATGTCTTCCCACAGTGATTACAGTTGTACGGTTTAGAGTGAGTATGAACGACATGGTGTTTATATAAACTGGAATATTCTGTAAACCTTTTGTCACAACCAGGAACTGTACAGACATATGGCTTTTCTCCTAAGTAAAGAAGATACACAAAAAGATCAGTTTTACATAGACATAATTAATCTACAACTGGAGAGTGGAACTTCTAAAAATAAACAGCCCAGCTGGGCAGTGGTGGCACACATCTTTAATCCCAGCACTCGGGAGGCAGAGGCAGGTGGATCTCTGTGAGTTGGAGTCTAGCCTGGTCTATAGTGTGAGTTTCAGGACAGGCTCCAAAGCTACACAGAGAAACCCTGTCTCAAAAAACCAAAAATAAATGAACAGCTAAATCACCTGTCACTGTTACTCATTGTCAGAGCACCTGTTTAGCATGCTTGATGCAGAGTTCAATTCCTAGCACTGGGTAGGTGGGAGTGGAGTGTCCCTATTCATCTTGAAATGAAATAGCCTGAGGAGCTGGAGAGATGGTTGAGTGGTTAAGAGTGCTTGCTTCTCTTGCAGAGAGGTCCAGAGTTCAGTTCTCAGCACCCACACCAGGTGTCTTACAACCAATATAACTCCACCTCCAGGGCACCCAATACTGCCTTCTGATCTACATGGGCACTGCATTCCTGTGCACACATCCTCTCCCATACAGTCAGTTTTGGTAAAGATGTCAGGAAGGATTACCTTTGGCTGGCCTCATGCTCATTATACAGCCAAAGAGGACACTGAACTTCTGATCCTGCTCGCTCTACCTGCAAGTGCTGGGATTATGGGTTTGCATCAGCATTCTTCCCTCACAAAATTCTGAGCTCCTATTGTTGGCTATGTTAATTCACCTGATCAGCCTTACATAAATGCACTGAGTTTTACATTCTGAATCTTTCCCTCCATCTGTCTATCTGCTTTCTTCCTTTATTTGTGTAGTGCCAGGATCAAAGACAGACCCTTACACGTGCAAGCACTGAGGTAGTTACATGCCCCCTCTAGCTCTGCCTTCCCAGTGCTGGGATAAAAGGCGTGCACCATCACATATGTTGGCTCATCAATGAAATTTTGAAGCTGCTTATCCACTTCCCACCATGTGAACTGGGAGGAAGAGACTAGTTGGAAGCCTTGAAAGACAGGGCCAAGACATCAGCAATCATTACCTGTGTGTATCCTCACATGGTTTTTGTAATTCGTTGCGCTGGCAAATGCCCTCCCACACCCTGGTTCTGTGCAGTAGTAAGGTCTTTCTCCTGTGTGTGTCCTAATGTGCACTTTTCTGATATTTGATGTTGTAAAGGACCGACCACAGCCTTCAATAGGACACTTAAAGGGCCTTTCTCCTGAAGATACAAAAGGGAATAAATTAAATGGCGCAAAAAATAAAATATACAGAGAAGGGGACTGTCTCATCACTTGGCCTGCCCAGGGTCTTACCCCAGTCTGCAGCCTACTTGCCCTGAAATTCCCTTCTAAGCACTGTGTCTCTGGAGAATGTATCTTTCACTCCAAACTTGAGTTAACAAAAGAAACCTGAATAGCATTCAACACTCATAAATGACTGCTACTTTCCAAGATAGGATCAAGTGAGAATACTAAAAACTGAGCTGAGAAAAGCACAGACCAAAATGTCAGAGAAAGGATAAAAGAAAAATAGGGTCAGGAATAAGGTTTAAGGTTCAGCAAGATGACTCTGTGGGTATAAATGCTTGCTGCCAAAACAAACTGCCTGAGTTGCATCCCTGGAACCTAAAGGATAAAAGAAGAACCAACTGAAAACTGTTCTCAGCCCTGATTGTGTGCCATAGTGCATATATATGCATACACATACAAAATAAGTGTAACACAATTTTAATTTTTTTAAAAAAGGATTAAGTTTGAACTATACGATTCCTTAGGGTTTATTTTTTATTTTATCCTATAAGACCACAAAGAGAAATAATTTCTGGGGTCAGTGAGATGGCTCAATAGGTGGCAGGTTAAAGCACTTGTTACCCATGGGAACTCCATAGCAGGTGGTGAGAACCCACTTCTGTAAGCTGTCCTCTCAACTCCATTCACATAGCCTAGTGTATGTGCACATAATAATTAAAACTGCAATAAAAGGAAACAATAGGCGTGTGCCACCAACGCCTGGCCTCAATTTGCTATTTCTTTACTCTAGTACTTCCCACAAAACAATCAAAATATCTGCTGAACATATACATATATACATGTATATATGTATATATATTTATTTATAACATTTACTGGAGACAGAATCTTTTTTTTTTCCCCCTATTTTGGTTTTTCTAGACAGGGTTTCTCTGTGTAGCCCTGGCTGTCCTGGAACTCGCTCTGTAGAGCAGACTGTTCTGTAACTCAGAGACCCGCCTGCCTTTGCCTCCAAGTGCTGGGACTACCTACCATACTTGACCTCAGATAATTCTTTTAGCAGCAGGAGAGGAATCCTGTACCTTAGAGAGGAATCCTGTACTTTAGGGTCTGTTCTCAATTTGGCTACTTATCAAATGTGTAATCCTAGGAAAATAAGCTTGTTGTTCAGGTAATATCTGAAAACAGAGAGTTGGTGATCTAGGAGTACTGTCCATATTTCTAGGGCTTCTCCTTGGAAAGAAGTAAACATGCACAAACAGCAAACTGGATGGAATTTTAGGAATTTAAGATAAAGCCCTGATAATGATTCCCTTCAATTTTTTCAGAGACTCCATCTCCAGTCCAGAGATTAAGAATTCTTGTTGTAGTAGTTTGTAATCCCAGAACTGGAGAAGCTGATAGAGAAGCATCACAAATTCCACGTCAGCCTGTCCTGCAATGAAAACAATAGTTCCTGGTCTAAATCTGACACTGCTGTACTGGTACCTGTATGGGTTCTGATGTGCTTCTGTAGATCTCCTGAAGTTTTGAAAGATTTTGTACAATTATCTTCTGAACACCGATATGGCTTTTCTCCAGTATGAGTTCTGAAATGACTTTTTAATCCATAACCTTTAAGAAAATCATAAAAGAAATTTAACACCAGGCACTGGCTGTGCACGCCTTTAACTCCAGCACCTGAAAGGCAAAGGCAACCAGATCTCTCTGAGTTTGAGGCCAGCCTGGTCCTCAGATCAAGTTCCAGGATACCCAGGGTTACACAGAGAAACTGTCTCGAAAAACAAAAGAGAAAAAAGGAAATTAGCAACACAATACTCCTCTAAATAGGGCTGGAGGGATAGCTCAGCCGTTAAAAGCCAGGCTCACAACCAAAAATACTCCTCTAAACAAGTATTTGGAGATTAACATAGGAAATATACAGCAAATAACCAGGAAAAATACTAGGCATATATAACAGAATGACCATTAAATGAGGCAAACTAGATGTGGTGGCTCATGCCTGTAACCTCTGTGGCTCTCTAGGCCTTTATTAACTATATTTTAAGTCAGCATGGGGGCAGGGCAGCCCTGGCTTATAGCCTTGGCGGGCTTGGAACACATTAGATAGACCAGTCTGGCCTCAAACTCATAGAGATCAGCCTGATTCTGCCTCCCCAGTGCTAGGATTAAAACTGTGTATTGCCATACCTGGCATTTACTTTTCCTGGTAGAAGAAAATGGAGGATGGAATAAGGATCAGCAAATATGTAGGCAGAGCTAGATCTTTGGAGAAAAATGGTAGCACAGAGGGAAGTCCAGAGCAAGCAGGACAAGAGGCAGTTAAGAAAGACACTGAAGGGGTTGGTTAGATGGCTTAGCAGTTCAGAGTGTATACTGTTGTAGCAGAGGACATAGGTTTGGGTTCCCAGCACCCACATCACGTGGCTCACAACTGCCTCTAACTCCAGTTTCAGGGGATCTAATCACCTCTTTTGGCTTACAGGGGCACCTGCATATACACAGTATACATAAATTTATACACACACACATATTTAAAAAAAAGTACAAGACTTAAAAAGTGATCATGTGCTTCTGTGGTCTCAGAAAATAGAAGGGGTCCTGCCTCTGGCTTGCCCTGGGCAATCCCCCACTGAACTAAAAAGCAAAGAAAATTTATTTTCTTACCTGTCGCAAATGCTTTCCCACAGCCTGAATGCTCACATTGATAAGGCCGGTCTCCTGTGTGCGAGCGTTCATGGACCTGTTATTAAAACATAAGCAGGATCCTGTTTCCTTTACATGGTTTATGAGTAAGATGTTCTGAGGATAAATCTAAATTTTCCTCTAGCAGTAAATGGCTTTGTTTTATACCTCCCCACCCCCCATTTTCTTTTCTTTTCTTTTTTTTTTTTTTAAGCTTTTATTTATTATGTACACAGTCTTCTGCCTGCATGCCAGAGGGCACCAGATCTCATTCAAGGTGGTTGTGAGCCACCATGAGGTAGCCAGGAATTGAACTCAGGACCTCTGGAAGAGCAGTAAGTGCTCTTAACCGCTGAGCCATCTCTCCCCCCATTTTCTTTTACAGTGCTGGGCCTCAGATATGAGATGCAATAGCTATCACTGATTATATCATTGACTTGTAGTATACAAAAAAAAAAAAAAAAAAAAGCCTTTCCACAAACTTTTTCTTTTTTTTTTTTTTTGAGACAGGGTTTCTCTGTATTGTTTTGGAGCCTGTCTGGAACTGGAACTAGCTCTGTAGGCCAGGATGGCTTCCAACTCACAGAGATCCACCCGTCTCTGCTTCCTGAGTGCTGGGATTAAAGGCGTGTGCCACCAACGCCTGGCTAGGACGCTTTTAAAACAAGAAACAGAATCATTTGAGTGCTTTTAGAGTGGTCACAGGAACTCTTATGACACACATGCATGATGAGAATGAGGAAAACAGTGACAGGCTTCTCAAAGTAAACTGTGGCATGCAACCTGTGCTAGAAAGCCATGTATCTGAAATGTGAAGCAAGGCTACACTAGAGCCTAGAGGAGTGGCCTTGGGTACCTGTTTTTCTCTGTCTCTATGTCTCTCTAGGCAAGGATGACCTTTTGCTCTTGATCCTCCAGAGTACTGGGATCACAGGTGTGCACCACCACACCCACTTTATGGGACGCTAGAGACAGATCTTATTCATGCTAGTCAAGCACTCTTCTGTTGCAGAATATTTGTTTTACTATGCAAAGATGTATTGGAATTGTTTATGTTGCAGAATATTTGTTTAACTATATAAAGATGTATTGCTGTTTTCCCTTGCCTGCCTAAGGCAAGATTGGTCTAATGGGCTGGGTGTTGCTGGTGCATGCCTTTAGTCCCAGCACTCAGGAGGCAAAGACAGGCGGATCTCTGTGAGTTCAAGACCAGCCTGGTCTACAAGAGCTAGTTCCAAGTCAGCCTCCAAAGCCTTTGATCATCGATTACGGGCATGTGCCACCATGACAAGTTTATGTGGGGGTGGAGAATGAACGAAGGACCAGGCATGTACTCTATGTACTTTACTAAGTGAATGACATTCCCAGCCTGAAATAACCAGTTTTTGTTTTGTTTTGTTTTTTTAAGACAGGGTTCTGGCTGTCTTGGAACTCGATTTATAGACCAGGCGGGCTTCAACTCACAGAAATCTGCCTGGCTCTGTCTTCTGAGTGCTGGGATTAAAGCAAATTTACATACTTTTATGAGAGTTGTATTTCATCACTACCGTATTAAATTGAGTAAATATCTACCAGCCAATATGCTGGAATTAGGGATACAGAGATAAATCATCTATGCTATTAGAGAACAGACAGTTGCTGAGTCTGTCCAGGCTCTTGAGTGCCTTAATTTGAGTATGTGCCAGTATCTTTTGAATGTGAGTGAACAGGGTTGTCAAAGCTTGACCATGCAAGCAGTCAGTGCCTGCCATAGCATGTTGTGACTAGCTACTTCTCTCTTATGTACCTTAAGATGATGAGCTGTTGTATAGAGTTTTCCACATCCATCATATTTACACCGAAATGCCTTCTCTCCACTCTGCTGAGACTTAGGAGTTACTCTTGTAGCATGTCCTTGTAAGACAATCTAGAAAAAAATAAAATACAACTTGAGATATTTATACAGAAATAAAATAGATGAAATTACTGTTTCCACAATAAAGATAAACCTGGAGGAAGAATCTAGATGCATAGATACACCAGGGAGACACGGAGATGAAACAGGAGTTTGAGATAGCAGAAAGGTTAGCGCCACATGCCAGAATGTAGATTAATATAAATACAATATATATAAATTATATTAGGTAATATAATTTAAGTTATAAGAGCTAGTTGAGAAGAAGCCGAAGCTAAGGACGAGTTTTCATAATTAATAAGTCTCCATGTCCTTATCTGAGCTGGCAGCCAAAAGAAAAATCCAACTACAACACACACACACACACCCCTACCTCAGCTTTACCTACCTGCATCTTTTTCTCTTGCTCATTTTCTCCAATCAATCCTGTACTTGTTACACTTTCACTCCCATCAATGGACACCTAAAAGAATAAAAAAGCTTTAAAAAGGTTTAACTTACTTATTTGCAGTGCTGGGGACTGAACCTAAGACCTCACTGAAATTACACAAGCATTTTACAAAGGAGCTATACCTCTAGCCCCAGGTCTCATCTCATATTTTGATAATGGTTTAGGCTAGGTAACATGCAGATTTATTATTGGCTATCATTGTATATTTTTAAAATTTTCCCATCCAGGCAGTGGTGGTGCACGCCTTTAATCCCAGCACTCAGAAGGCAGACGTAGGTGAATCTCTGAGTTTGAGGCCAGCCTGGTCTACAGAGCAAGTTCTAAGACAGCCAGGGCTACACAGAGAAACCTTGTCTTGAACCCCCCCCCACAAACAACAACAAAAAACCCCACAAAAACAAACAACAACAACAAAAACTCTCCCAAATTAAAAAGTAAGCAACCTGGTATCAGGGTGCTGGGGATTGAACCCAAGGCCCCATGTACCTTGCACTCTACCATTGAGCATACCATCATCTCCTCCAAATTGGGGTAAGTGGGTGAGATAGAGTCTCAAGTAGTCCAGTCTGGTTTTGAACTCATTATGCAGTCAAAGCTGAACCTAAATTTGTGATATTTCTGCCTCTACATCACTGATGCTGAGATTATAGCCACATTTCCATGCCTCCTTCCCAAAACTCCCAAAAGTTTACATATATTGAAGTACAGGGAAATACTTCAATCCCCCCCCTCCATTTCTCAAGACACATTTTTTGTTATTGTCGTTTTTTGGTTTTTCGTGACAGAGTTTCTCTGTTTAGTGCTGGCTGTCCTGGATCTTACTCTGTAGATCAGTCTGGTGTTGAACTCACTGAGATCAACCTGCCTCCTAATGTTGGGGGTTAAAGGTGTTTTCCACTGCTGCCCAACCCTCTCTCTCTCTCCTTTTTTAGATGAGGTTTTATTATATTGTCCAAGTGTGTCATGAACTCCTTGACTTGAGAGATCCTCATTCAACCTAAGCAGCTGGGACTACAGGCATGCACTCTCATGACTGGCTCAAAAATTAGTCTTTTTTTTTTTTTAATAAATATTTTTATTGAAGATTTTATTTTTTATTTATTATGTATACACCATTCTGCTTCCATGTATATTTGCACACCAGAAGAGGGCACCAGATCTCATAACGGATGGTTGTGAGCCACCATGTGGTTGTTGGGAATTGAACTCAGGACTTCTGGAAGAGCAGCCAGTTGCTCTTAACCTCTGAGCCATCTCTCCAGCCCAAAAATTAGTCTTTTTATATAAAATTCAAGGCTTTCCTTAACCTTTCCCCTCTCCCCATCTCTTTTTACAATTTATTTATTATGTATACAGAGTTCTGCCTGCATATATCCCAGAAGGCTAGAAGAGAGCACCAGATCTCATCATGGATGGTTGTGAGCCACCATGTAATTGCTGGAAACTGAACTCAGGACCTCTGGAAGAGCAGCCAGTACTCCTAACCTCTGAGCCATCGCTCCAGTCAGTCCCTCTCTTTTCTTAAAACTTTATTTATTTTTATTTTATGTGCATTGATGTTTTGCCATGGGTGTTTTGCCCTGGAATTGGAATTACAGACAGCTGTGAGCTACCATGTGGGTGCTGAGAACTGAACCTGGGTCCTCTGAAGAACAGTCAGTGATCTTCAGTCCCTCCTTCATTTTTTCTAATCTCTAATTTCACTTCTGATTTCTACTCTATTATGTCCTTTATGGAACTCATCCTTGACTTCCTTTCTGTAAATTATCAACTATTTATTTATTTTTTAAAGTGTACTTCATTCTGTTATTCTTCCCCAATTATTTCTTTTTTAATTTATTTGTGCTGGGATTAAAGATGAGCACCACTGCTACCTAGCACAAGTGTTCTTAACCCAGCCATCTCTCTCGCTCTTTCTGCATTTCTTTAATTGTTGTTGAGACAAGATCTCACTATGTAGCACAAGTTTGTCATTAAACCTGTGATCATTTGTAAGCCTGAACTACATCCCCAGCATTCAATTATTTGAAAATAAGTGTTAATTAAATTCTTTAGTAATGACTCACATTTTTAATTTTAAATTGCTAGCTGTTGCTTTTGTCTCTTCTTTTTTTTTAACGACTTATTTTTATTTTATGTGCATTGAGGTCTTGACTGCATGAATGTCTGTGTGAGATGTCAGATGTCAAGGTCAAATCTTGGAGTTACAGATGGTTAGCTGACATGTGGGTGCTAAGAATTGAACCTTGGTCCTCTAGAAGAGCAGTCTGTACTCTTAACTGATGAGCCACCTCCCCAAGCCCTGGATCTTCTTCTTTTTGGTGGTGGTTTTTTGTTTACTTTGTCTTTGAGACAGGATCTCATGTGTCCCAGGCTGGCTATCAACTTATTAGGTAATCAAGAATGACAATCAACTCCTGACCCTCCTGCTCTTTCCAAAGTGCTGGAACTGCAAGTGTGTGCCACCACATTTGGTTTATGCTGTGCTAGTACTGACTCTAGGGCTTCATGCATGTGACAATAAATACTGTAACAACTAAACTACACACCCTGGTCCAGAGACGGTATTGAAGTTGCAAAGTACCATACCTTTGCTGCATACTGCTCCAAAGCACTAATGGTATCTGGATCAATTGTGGCATCCCCAGTGTGCAGCCCTGCCACTGTCCCATCAGCCTGAATTGCCAAGATGGTATCAGACTGAGGGACTTGCACTGCATGGTGGATGTAAGCTGTTGTGCCATCTTCCAATTGTACTGCCTGAAGTGAGCTCTGGTCATAACTATCTGAGGGAATGGAAAAGAAAGGCATTGCATTAAAAGTATCACATTAGTCCACCAGCCCTCTATAAGCTTTCCCTTATAGCTCATCTCCATTCCTCTGTGTCAGTCACTAATCCAGAAAAATACTTTCTACCATGGACCCAAGTGGCCAACACTGGGCTGAGACACAGGTAGGTGATTTTATTGTATTTCCTGTTCCCGCTTCTGGTCTCCCCAAACTTACTCTTCCTCCTACTGCAGACAATCTACAGGAGTCCTTCCTCCCTACCCATCTCCCCTACCTGGGGATTCTGCCTCTTGAGAGATCCAGGGTCTCCCTGGCTCTTTCATTCCTCTTTCTTTAGACTTACTCTTTCTCCTACCTGCAAGGAGCCCTTCCTCCCACCCAACCTTTACTCCCTAGAGACTCTGCCTCTTGATGCAGGCCTAGTCCCCCTAGCTCTTACCATGACCTATATCAGCCTTTCTTCCTAGCCCATCTCCATTCCTTTGTGTCACTGGTCCACCCACAGAAGTACTCTCTACCAAGGACCCCAAAGCTACCACAATTGCCTAGGACCCAGAAATGGCAACAGCTACCAAAAAAGGAACACCCACCCAACAAAGACAAGACCAATATCATAACTCCTGATGCCTGGACCCAGCACAAAAATACAATCATGAACAGCCAAGACAGTATACCTCCTCTAGAATCCAGTAACACCTATTTCAACAGACCCAAGAAATGCAATTTAGCTGAAGCACAAAACAAAGACTTTAAGATAGCAATTATGAATATGCTCAAGGACCTCAAAGAAGATATGAATAAATGCCTTCATGAGGACTGTGAAAACACAGTTGAATGAAATAATGAGAACAGTTCAAGACATGAAAATAAAAATAAAGTTTATTTTTAATAAAATCATAGACCTGAGAAGTGGTGGCGAATACCTTTAATCTCAGCACTTGGGAGTCAGAGGCAGGTGAATCTCTGAGTTCAAGGCCAGCCTGGTCTACAGAGTGAGTTCCAGGACAGCCAGGGCTACACAGAGAAACCCTGTCTCAAGGGGGTAAAAATCATAGAAAAAAACTTCCCCAATCTAAAGAAGGAGGTACCTATAAAGATATAAGAAGCATACTGAACACCAAATTGGACCAGAAAAGAAATTTCCTATGACACATAAGACACTAAGCATACAGAACAAAGAAAGGATATTAAAAGCTGCAAGAGAAAAAGACCAAGTCATATATAAAGGCAGGTCCATTAGAATAACACCTGATGCCGGGCGGTGGTGGCGCACACTTTTAATCCCAGCACTCGGGAGGCAGAGGCAGGCAGATCTCTGTGAGTTCAGCCTGGTCTACAAGAGCTAGTTCCAGGACAGCCTCCAAAGCCACAGAGAAACCCTGTCTCGAAAAACCAAAAAAAAAAAAAAAAAACACCTGACCTTATGGAGACTCTGGAATCCAGAAGGGCCTGGGCAGATGTTCTACAAACTCTGAGACCACAGGTGCCCAGACTACTAAACCCAGCAACACTATCAATCACAACTGAGAAAAAAAATCTACAATAAAATCAAAATTAAGCAATAACTATCTACCAACCCAGTTTTACAAAAAACACAAGAAAGAAAAAGTCAGCCTGAAAACATTAACCATATCAAAGAAAACACCAGGAATAAATAACCCCAGAGTCCACACCATAACAAAAATAACAGGACTCAATAAACATTGATATTAATAATTCTTGGTATTTATGACCTCATAATTCCTCAATAAAAAGGCACATATTAATGGACTAGATTAGAAAACAGGATCAAGAAAAACAAACAAAAAACAAGCCCAGCTTATTGGTGTAGAAGGCAGAGGCAGGAAGATCTGTGTTTGAGGTCTATAGAGCAAGGACAGTCAGAGCCACACAGAAAAACCCCATCTCAAAAAACCAAAATCAACCCTCCCCTCAAAAAAATAAAATGAGAGAGAAAAAGAAAACAGTATCCATCTTTCTGCTATATCCAAGAAATGCACTTTACCAAAGATAGACATTGCCCTAGGGTAGGTAAAAGGACAGATATTCCAAGCAAATAGACCAAGAAACAAGCAGGCATAGCTACCATTTTAATAACAAAATAGACTCCAAACCAAAACTAACCAGAAAAGATAGGGAAGGATACATAGTACATACTCATTAAAGGAAAAATCCACAAGAGTATAGTGCAATTCTAAACATTTATACACCAAATATAAGGGCATCCAAGTTCATAAAAAAAAACAAAACAAAAAACAAACGCTAGTATGGCTAAAACCACATCTTAACCTTCACACAGAGAAATGCTAGGGTTAAATAACACCATAAGTCAAACAGACCTAACAGAACATTCTACCCAACACTTAAGAATATACTTTCTCAGGAGCCATGGGACTTTCTCCAAAATTATCACATACTTGGACACAAAGCAAGTCTCAACAGACATAAGAAAAACTCAACACTCTGCATTCTGACAATCATGGATTAAAGTGGATATCAACAACAGAAACTATACAAATTCATGGAAACTGAACAACTCACTACTGAATGAAAACTGGGTCAAGACATATCAAGAAGAAAATGAAAAACTCTTTAGAATTGAACGAGAATGAAAATACAACATATCCAAACTTATGGGACATAATGAAGGCAGATCTAAGAAGCAAGTCCACAGCACTAAGCACCTACTAGAATTAGAAGAATTGGAGAGCTCAATTCTTCTCCATCAGAAAATGGTTTACAAAGGGGCAATGGAGGAAAGCTGAAGTGAAAGAGTCTTAAAACCAAGGGACTAGTCTGTGACACACACACAGACACAAAAGCATCATTTTATATTTAAAGGAAAAGAGAAATGGACTTTTTTGAGTAGTTGCTATGAGCATTGTACTATGCAATTTATTTATTTTTTGTTTTGCCTGTAGCCATACTGTCCTGGTGTCCACTATGGAGGCAAGGCTATCTTTAAAGTTGCAGTGATCTTGTTGCTTCCTCCTACATGCTAGGATTACAGGCATAGACCCCCAATTCTAGCATTGGCTATATGTTTTCTATTCATTTAATATGTACACAAATACTGTGAGGCAGAATTCACCATCTCTCCTGTATAGGAACACTAGGAACATTAGAAAAAAGCCTCAATATTCAATGTAACATTTAGCCTAATATTTTTTTGAGGGGTGTGTGGTTGAGATAGGGTTTATCTGTGTAGCTTTGGAGTCTGTCCTGGAACTAGCACTGTAGACCAGGCTGCCTCTGCCTCCTGAGTTCTGGTCTTAAAGGCATTTGTCACCACCACCCAGCTAACATACTCATTTTGGAGTGCAAGTAGAGACACCATAATTTGGACTCATGTCAGATCTTGGTATTCAAACACCTGGCTCCAAAGTCTGTTCTGTTTGTTGTGATAAAATGTTCCTGGACAGCTCAAAACGTCACAAAGTTTTTCCTTAAATAATGTCCCAACCTGCTGCTTTGTACTTCAAGGAATAAAAACATGACAACACTACAGCAGCCAAAGACAGTTCTTTTCCCCACACTCCCACCTTTCTCTATGTTATTCATATTCACAGAACTATTGTACCTTTAGAAGTATGGTGAATGAATGCAGTAGTTCCATCTTCTAGCTGCACTGCTTGCCCATCCTCCAGCCGCAAACTGTCCCCTGCTCAAGAGCAATGATTACATTTAGATAACCTATCTTCAGGGAGTTCCAGCTAACTCACACAGCAGCAAGAGTCAGATGAACACATACACCTGCTTTAGGAGCCACTGGACATCTTAAGTAATCTCAGGGAAGTTGCTTTGAGAAACTATTACAAGGAAAAGGGAATCTGGAGACTTGTTTTAAGAATGTATTCCAGGGATGAGGAGAATTGAATGAAATTAGTGACATGGGATTCAGCTCCAACACAGCCACATTTCCTTAGGATTGCTGTCTACTAATCTCCTGGCCTCAGCCCAGTAATGTCTTTTCCATTATTTGTTAGATGAGTCTTGGTTAAGTTTGGTCCTCTGTCTGATGTCTTTTGGCCCTTCTTCAGAGAAAGATTAGAAATCAGACTAAATTAGGTAGCAAGGACAAGCTGGAGGCAGCAAATTCTGAGGTCTGAAAATCAGGGGAGTTTCTTTCATACTGTTTTTTTGTTTGTTTGTTTGTTTATTATTATTAACTAAATGGTCTCATTGTGTAATCCTGGCTACCTTGCATTATATAGACCAAGATAGCCTCAAATTCACAGAGACCTGCCTTCTCTAAGTCTGGGACTAAAAGCATGTGCCATTCTGATGGCTGTTGTGTCTTAAATACTTACTACTTTTAGGTATGGGGACATGTTGAACATAGGCAGCAGAACCATCTTCCAACTGAATGACCTGGCCATCAATGAGTCTCCCATCTGGAACAAAATATTTAAGCCAGTAAATTAGCAGCAAAAATTTTAAAACTTCATACAATTTCAAAATGATATCAACTATAAAAACATACACTACTTAAGCTCATGTTCATCTTGGTTCTTCCCTCAATGTTCTGAGGCAATTCAATATCACATCCAGTGACCCTATAGAAAGCAGAAAATCCTCCCTCAGCCATCCTTCCTCCCTCCAATTTTCAATCAGATAAATACAAGAGGAAGAGTGGCTCATCACAGTAAGCTACATGCATTGAACCTCTGTGTACTGCTCAGAACCACTTAGTACCAATGACCCTGAGCACAGGGAAGCTGAATAGCCATGTATGTGTATGTGAATCCAGTTGACACTCTCTCACCCCTGGGAACTATGTATACCTTTGTCCACATACACATGGCAGTTTTCCATGCAAAAAAGGAGTTTTAGAACTGGGCTGTTTCCTAAAGCAAACTAAACATCAATTCAGAGACGATGTCATTTTAAGAAAACCAAATATATTCTTACATGTTTTAATATCTTTCAGCTATCTCAAAGGGCAGCCCAAAATTATCAAAGCAACAACTTCAGTATCATATGCAATACAGCATCTTTAGGAGATTGGGATGGAGGTCTAGTTGGTAAGGGTTCTAGTCATTGGCATTAACCAACTGGCCACCCACGATGCACATACCTTTAGAATTATGCTGTATGTAAGCAGTAGAACCATCTGCAAGAGTTACAGCTTGCAAACTTACACCTTCCATATTTTCTAAATTGTCACCATCTATGATAAAACAAAGTTATTTTTTTAAAGTATTTTTTTTAAGATTTATTTCTTTATTGTGTATATACTATTCTGTCTGTATGTATTCTGGGCCAGAAGAAGGTCCCAGATCTCATTACAGATGGTTGTGAGCCACCATGTGATTGCTGAGAATTGAACTCAGGACCTCTGGAAGAGCAGCCAGTGCTCTTAACCTCTGAGCCAACTCTCCAGCCCCAAAACAAAGTTATTTTTTAGATAGCTACATATGTGCCTGCTAATTATGTTTATAAAATGAAAATTAGGCAAAAGGCAAGTTGCTTAACTCTTAAAGAGGCTTAAATAGAATCTTTCTTTTTTTTTTTTTTTAGAATTTACAAAAATATTATCTAGCCAAACTGAAAATATCAGAGTTGGAGGGGTCTAGATATCATCAAGATACACTGGATGCATGTATGGGAGTCCTCAAAAAAAGTAAAAGGACAAAAGTTCTTTAACTGCAACTTCCATACTTCTATGATCCTTTTCAAGCACAATGGCTTACCTGCCACGGTTACTGCCTCTGTCAGGCACAGAGTAACATGCTGAGCCTCCATTCCTCCTCCAGGAAATTCTGTCATTCCCTGAGAATCCCGATTTATTTGGGCTAACAACATTTTCTACCTTGAAGAAAAAGACGAGCACTTGAGAACAAGGAATTATGCACATGTGATAAAAGCTGAGATGGCTCACAGGTAAAGGCACTTACTTTCAAGTTTGATTACCTGAGTTTCATCCCAGAGTTCCCTTACAGGAAAGAGAGAACTGGCTTCTACAAACCATCCACACATGCACACCAGTGAGCAAACTAAATACACAATGTAAAATCTTGGCAGGACATGGTGACACATGTCCTTACTCCCAGTACTCAGAAGGCCTGGTCTACGTCATGAATTCTAGAACAGTTAGAGCTATACAGTGAGACCCTATCTCAAACAAACAACCAATCACTTTTATTTTTAAAAAGCTGCAAATAACACATGTGAACAAAAAAAAATGTTAAAGGTATGAATGATGCTTAACAGAAGATGAAATTTCACTTAATATGCAGGGTAGGGCTATTAAAACCAACAAATATCTTTTAAAACTCCAGCAAGACATACTACTGACATAGCTAAAGGGCACATCTACATAGCACAGTTTGGCAAATATGCCCAGGTTTGCTTTCTGTAAGACTAAGAAACTTATTGCTAGGGTGTCTAGGTGCATGCATTTTACCCCAGCACTCTAGAGGTAGGATCTCTGTGAATCTGAGGCTACTTTGATCTATACAGTTCTCTGCCACCCTATCTCAAAACAATGACAATATAAACCACACCACCTCAAAATTACAGGGCCAGATTTTTGTTTGTTTGTTTCATTCCTTAGGGAATAAGTCCTTAAGATTGTAGCTCCAGTGGCAATAGTGCTTGCCTAGCACGCATAATGCCAAGTCCCAACATTAGCCTGAAAAGGTAAATAAGAATATACTGGTGCCTGGCGCTGGTGGCACAAGTCTTCAATCCCAGCACTTGAGAGGCAGAGGAAGGCGGATCTCGGAGTTTGAGGCCAGCCTGGCTACATAGGAGCTCCAGGTCAGCCAGGGTAACAGAGAAACCCTGTCTCAACCCCTTCCCCTCCTCCCCCAAAAAAAAAATCTCAAAAAAAAAAAAAAAAAAAAAAAAAAAACCCTTTTATTTTTCTTTGCTTCTTACTATAACTACTTCAATTTTCTTTTCCTGTTCACTCAGATGTTCCCTCATTCTTCTGGTCCGAATACCTTATTTTGAAAATTTTTTTCTTTTTCTTTTTTCTTTTTTGAGTCTCTCAACCAGGCGTTGATAGCGCACACCTTTAATTCTAGCACTTGGGAGGCAGAGGCAGGTGGATCTCTGTGAGTTCAAGGCCGGCCTGGTCTACAAGGGCTAGTTCCAGGACAGGCTTCAAAGCCACAGAGAAACCCTGTCTCAGAAAAAAAGAAAAAAGAAACAGAGTCTCTCTTCTATATAGCCACGGCTGTCCTGAAACTCAGTATGTATATCAGGCTAGCCTTGAACTCATAGAATTCTGTCTGTCTCTTCCCTAGTGCTGGGACTAAAGAAGTATGCCACCATACCCAACATTACTTTGTTTTCTACACTATTACATTTTTCTTGTAATATTGTAATATAAAATTCAAAATTGATCCCAGCACTCAGGAAGCAGAGGCAGGAAGATTTCTGTGAGTTCAAGACCATCCTGGTCTACAAGATCTAGTTCTAGGACAGCCTCCAAAGTCACAGAGAAACCTTGTCTCAAAACTAGTGCCCCCCCTCAAAAAATTTTTAATTAAGAGAAATGATTCTCCCTAGCACTCAGGAGGCAGAGGCAGGTGGATCTACAGAGGCCTGCTTGGTCTACAGAGCAAGTTCAAGGACGGCAAGAGCTACAGAGAAACCCTGTCTCAAAAAAGAAATAGAGAAAAATGATTCTCAATAGCTTAACAAATCAAATCTCTTTTATTCTCTACTGCTTGCTACACTTATATTTTAGTGGTATAATTCGAGATAACACTGTATTCACTTGTTTTCTTTCCTATGAAAGTATATCAGGTTATCTTTTGTGTATGTGAAGATTTTCCAAGGTCTTGGGCATGCTAAGACAACTGCTCTTCCATTGAGCTATATTCCCTAGCCCGATTTTTTCTTTCTTTTTGGTTTTTTGAGACAGGGAGAACTTCTCTGTGTAGCCTTGGCTGTCCTGGAACTCACTTTATAGACTATTGGGACTTGAACTCAGATATCCACCTTCCTCTGTCTCCTGAATGCTGGGATTAAAGGAGTTCGATGCCATGCCTGGTTCAATTTCTAATAAACTACAGAAATGATCTCTGAATCCTCTGAGCCATCTCTCCAGCCCCCACTTTTGTAAATTTTTATTAGGCCAACATGTATTCATAATGATCATTCTTCATTCACATAAAATGTGAGGAGTGGGTGGTTACTTTTGTAGCACATTAGGAGCTGAGCATCCAAAGTTCACATGATTAAATGCTTAATATGCATTCATCCTGTGAAGATGGAGGTTTCCGTCCTGCCAGGTCCCGACTCCCTTCAGCCCTAAATAAACACAGGGACTATGTATTAATTATAAAACTGTTGGCTGATGGCTTAGGCTTCTTATTGACTAGCACTGGAAGTAATTACTAACCTGTTTCTATGAATCTATATATTGCCACGAGGCTGTGGCTTACCCATAATATAGCATGTTACTCCTTCAGCAGCATGTCGACTCTTTTCTGCCTCAATTCCTAGCACCAAACAAAACATCTTTTCTTTACAAGCCATTTATCATTTTTCTTATTATGTACTAGGCACATACTTTTTCTCATTAAAAATAATCATTTAGGTCAGTTAACAGTGGCGGACAAGCCGGGCATTGGTGGCCCACGCCTTTAATCCCAGCACTCCGGAGGCAGAGGCAGGCGGATTTCTGTGAATCCAAGCCCAGCCTGGTCTCCAGAGTGAGTGCCAGGATAGGCTCCAAAGCTACACAGAGAAACCCTGTCTCGAAAAAACCAAAACAAAAAAACAAAAAAACAACAGTGGTGGACCCATTCCAGCACTCAGGAGGCAGAGGCAGGTGGATCGCTGTGAGTTCAAGGCCAGCCTGGTCTACAGAGTACCAGGATGGCCACAGCTGTTACACAGAGAAACTTGTCCTGAAGCACTAAAACAGAACAAACAAACAAACAAAATCATTAGGGACCATTATGATGGCTTATTGGGTACCTGCCATCAAACCCAACAACTTTAGTTTATTCCTGAGACCCATATTATAGAAGGTGAGAGCCAATTTCCCCAACTTTCACATAAGTGCTATGGCATGTCTTACACTCACACTCACATACACACACTCTGTCTCAGAAAAATTAATTAGCTAATTAATTATTTAAAAGCTGCCAGGATGAAAACTATTGGACAAAAAGTACAACTTTTTATAGCTACGCCACACTGTCAGCATTAACCCCAATTGAGCAGAAATTCAATCTGTCTCCTACCTAACTTCATAATTTCTTTTTTTTTTTTTTTTGAGACAGGGTTTCTCTGTGGCTTTGGAGGCTGTCCTGGAACTAGCTCTTGTAGACCAGGCTGGTCTCGAACTCAGAGATCCACCTGCCTCTGCCTCCCGAGTGCTGGGATTAAAGGCGTGTGCCACCACTACCCAGCCTAACTTTATAATTTCATTGGTACATTCTCCTTAAGATCTTTACCACTGGCATGCTACTTAAAAGTATGTGTATACAATGTTGACATACATAAATACTCACCTTAAGCTGGGTGTGGTGGGACACAGCCTTTAATCCCATCATTTGTTGGCAGAGGCAGGTAGATCTCTAGGTCAGCCAAGGCTACACAAAGTAGCCCTGTCTCAAAAAGAAAAAAACAAAAAAATACAGTGTGGAGGTTTAAAAAAAATTCACACTGTAATTGGATAACTTGGTACCAATGATTAAAAAGACAACGGAGGGCCAGAGAGAAGGCTCAGCCATTAAGTGTACAAACTGCTCTTGCAAAGGACCTAATTTAATTGCCAGCACCTACAATAGGCAGCTGACAACTGATTGTAATTACAACTCCAGAGAATCTGATACCTCTGGCTTCCACTGACATTCATGGATAACACTCATATATAGAACCATCAATATACACATAATTAAAATAATAAATCTTTTTATTTGTTTTGGTTTCTTTCTTCCTTCCTTCCTTCCTTCCTTCCTTCCTTTCTTTCTTTCTTTCTTTCTTTCTTTCTTTCTTTCTTTCCTTTCTTTGAGACACAGACTCACTATGAAACCCTGGCTGGCCTGAACTCAAATATCAGCCTCTCTCTGTCTCTCAAGTGCTGGAATTAAAGACATGCACTATCATGTTCATCCACAAAATAAACACAAAGATGTCTAACCACATGATTGTTAGTGTTTATTAAACACTCCCGAGGGACTAAGAGGTGGCTCAGCAGATGTCACTAATGACCTGACGACCTGAATCTGATCCCCACCCCAGGAGCCACAGAGGGGAAGGAGAGAGACTCCCTCAAGTTGACCTCTGACCTCTACACAGGTACTGCAGCAAGTGTATGCCCTCCCTCAAATAAACTAATGAAAATTTAAAAAAACACTTGTATAAGTGTGTACAGGTTAATGAAATGTTATTTGCAATAGCAGTAAGTCATGAACAACCTAAAAGTTCATCAAAAGATATGTTAAATATGCTACCAATAAATGGAGCATGAGACAGTAAAAAGAAATCACCTCTCTAGGCATAGCTCTGTTCTAGAGCTCCTGACTACCATTTTGCAAGATTGTGGCTTTGATCTCTAGCCAGCAGTAAAAAAAAAGAGATCTATATAAAAGGGTGAGAAATGTGTCCAAGATATATAGTCAGGGGGAAAAAAGCAAGCAGCAGAAGAGTGTCCCTCATATGATTACTCTGGTTTTAAAAACTGTATATAATAACAAAGCAAGCATCTATATAAATTCAAATGATTTCCTCCTGGGAATAGGAAGGACTAAGAGACAACTGTAGAGAGAAGAGACTTTCAATATTTCATCCTACTGCAGAGGATCCAATCCAGATAAGTGCTCTACCTGAGTTATAGCCAAGCCTAACAACCTGAGTTCAATTCCTGGGTCTCACCAGGTGGAAGGAGAAGCCTGACTTTCACAACTTGTCCTTTGACATACATAAGCACCCAAACTCACAGCCTTGTCTCTTCTCCACCTCCTCCCCCATCCCTCTCTCTCTCTCACACACACAAATAAGTGTAATTTTTAAAAAGTACATAATTAAGCTTTATAACTCACCACATAATCTAACTTTTTGGTTGTGAGCCTTACCCTTTAATTGCTGAGCCATTTCTCCAGCCCTAATCCAACTTTTTTGTTTGTTTGTTTGTTTGTTTTTCGAGACAGGGTTTCTCTGTATTGTTCTGGAGGCTGTCCTGGAACTGGCTTTGTACACCAGGCTGGCCTTCAACTCACAGAGATCTGCCTGCCTCTGCCTCTCAAGTGCTGGGATTAAAGGTGTGCACCACCAACACCCAATCTAATCCAACTTTTAAACTGGAGAAGGATTCGGGGCTGGAGAGATGACTCAGAGGTTAAAAGCTCTGGCTGCTCTTCCAGAGGTCCCGAGTTCAATTCCCAGCAACCACATGGGGGCTCACACCCACCCATAATGAGATCTGGTGCCCTCTTCTGGTATGCAGATATACATGGAAGCAGAATGTTGTATACATAATAAATAAATAAAATCTTTAAAAAAAAAAACTGGGAAAGGATACAGACATTAAAGACAATAAACAAATAAATAACAAACGGTCAACTACACTAGCAATCAAAGAAATGCAAACCAAACCCACTTCAATAGGATGGCTATAATGGCACACAAATGGTCAGGCAGGATGCTAAATTCTGGACTACATGGCATGATCTTGTCTCAAAAAGAATGGGACAAAAAAACTGCAAAAGACTGGTAGTAACAGGAATTGGCAAAGAAGGCTGGGTATAATTCCAGTACTTGGGAGACCAAAGCAGGAGGATCTCTGTGAATTCAAGTCCTGCCTGACCTACAAAGCAGGAGCTAGGACTAAATGGAGATATGCTAGGACTAAATGGAAATATCCTGTCTCCAAAAAAAAAAAAAAAGTTGTGAGGATGTGGAGAAATTAGAATCCTACACCCGTTGTTAGCAGTGCAAATAGTACGTGCAATCTCATTCTTATTCTCTCTCACTTTTCTTTTCTTTTCTGGATGCAGGGTCTTTCTCTGTAGCCCTGATAGCTAGCCTGGAACACATTGTGAAGCCCAGGCTGGCCTTGAACCTGCAGCAATCATCCTTCTGCTGCCCACTTGCTGGGATTACAGATGGGTAGCACCCAGCTAGGAACACAGTTCTGTTACTAGGCTATTACACCTGAGACATAAAACCCTGTGTCTACAGGGCCCTACAATGACTTATAGGAAAAGTGCCTGCTGCCAAGCCTGACAAGAGGAAACTCCCTGGTACCCACAGGGTGGTAGAGAGAATAGACTCCATCAAGTTCCCTTCTCACCTCCACATGTACTGTGGCACACACACACACACACACACACACACACACACACACACACACACACACACACACAGAGAGAGAGAGAGAGAAAATAAATAAAAATGTACATTTAAGGAGTTGGAGAGACGGCCCTGTGGCTGTTACTCCAGAGGACATGGATTTGGTTCCCAGCACCCACATAAAGGCTCACAATCATTGTAACTACAGTTTCAGGGGACCTGACACCTTCTTCTGGCCTCCTTGGGCACCAGGACAGTCAAGTATTTATACTAATTTTTTTTTTTTTCTTTTTGAGACAGGGTTTCTCTGAGTAACCCTGACTATGAACAAGAGATTTATCTGCCTCCTGAGTGCTGATGGGAATAAAGGACTGCAGTTTTTACTTTTCGTTTCCTGAGACAAGCTCTTGGCTGGACTTGAACTCAATATGTAGCTAAGAATGACCTCAAACTCCTGACCTTCCTGTCTCTACTCCCACATACTAGGATTATTAAGTATGCATTAGCAAGGTGAGTTCATTTGTCTTAAGGGGCTAAATTTAAGGCCTAGCAGGTAAGCACTCCACCACCATGCTACATCCCAACTTGCTTTTTATTATTTTTTTTGAAATAGGGCCTCACTTCTAGGTTGCTCAGGTTGGCCTTAAAGTCAATCTGTAGTCAAGGCAGGCCTTGAATTCGTAATTTCTCCTATCTCAGCCTTGAAAGTTGAACTACTAGGCCCAGTTTTGATTGTTTTAGAAGGTGAATTTGAAGGTATGAGAATTTTGTTAAAAACCTTGTTATTCATTTACTTATTCTGAGATAATAGCTCACAGTGTGTACCTAGCTGTAACTATGCAATAAAGGGTAGCTTTGAACTCGGGGTACTCCTCCAGCCTCAGACTTTCTGAATGTTGGAATTATAGACAGAGCCACCAAACCCAGATAAAAACTATTCAAGACAAAAAAGAAAAGAGAGTATTTGTAGAGTTGGTTAAATCTCCCAAACAGTCAAAATGTCAGGATTAAATTTATGCTTCTTACTGATGTTTTGTAGTCTCAACACTTCACAAAGAATTTAACATACACTTAGAATGAAGAAAGTGTTACATAGGTTTTCACCAACTACAGCAGAACATGTCTTTCCTAGAAAAAGTAAGAACCAAACTAAAACACAATCTGAAATTTGCAATTTCCAACTATTTCAACGGACTATGCCAGCTGATTCGGATATTTCCAGAAGTAAAGGCAAAGCTTGATTCTAAACAAATAAGTGGGCAGTGGTATTCTTTTCCACGTATTAAAACCGTGTACTGGAAGGGGAAAAGCTAAAAGAGTGAACAAAAGTCCCACTATAAAACACATTTGTTCTTTGGTCAAAAGGAAAGCAAACGGAAATCACAAATGGCTATTTTCAATACTCTATGTTAGGCCAGAGACCTTTAAAGAAAAAATCTGAAAAAGAACAAATATGCCCACGATGAGAATAGGAAGACACCCAGGTGCGACGCGCAGGCAGTGTCCCCAGCCGCAGGGCCCGCGCCCCTACTGGGGCTAGCTCTGAACTGAGGCCCGGAGGCCCAGTCCGATGAGCTTTGCCACGGCGCGCCTGGGGATGCGCTCCGCGCGGAAGGTCAAGCCGAGCAAAGCCGCCCGGCTCCCGAGAGCTCCACCCTCCCCTCCAGCTCTCCCTCCCTCAATGGCCCCCTGCGGGAGCAGGCGGGGCGCGGCGTGGGGTGTGGGGGGAGGTGGCGTCCTCGGCGAGAAACGCTCCGCCGCCCCAGAGTGGCGGCCTTGGGTTATTAATAAACTCCGCTTTTGCCCGGGCTCCGCTACGAAGGCGGCCGTAGGATCGGCCTGGCCTAGGCCGGGCATGGGGGAGAGCTGGAGGGAGAGCCGGGGCCCAAGTGGGCCCGTGCCGTCGCGCTGAGGGCGGCGGCCGGGCGGAGAATAATGCACACTGGGTAAAAACACATTTATATACGAACCTCCGAGAAAATTTTCCAACAATTCCTTCGTCCGACCACCATGCACCAGGACAGGAAACAGCCGCCCGGCCCCCAGGCCCCGCAACCCGCATAGCAATTCTGAAGCCCTCCCCTAGCCTCCATTGGGCTGTAATTACGTCACTCACCGGAAGACTCTTGCTCTCTATTGGCCCAAATTTAGTGACGGACAGGAAAACGCCTATAACCACGCCCATTTGTAGTACGTCATCATAGCTTGTCCTTCCTGCCCGCGTCTGAGTGGCTAGCGTCAAGGGCGGAATTAAAGCTTCTGTGCCTGACTGGTTGGAAGAGCCGCTCATCTCGTCCCACTCCACCCTACCGACAAGTGAATTATGCCGATTCTGGGGCCCCAGCGGGAGGCGCCATTTTGTGGCGAGGGAGGGAGGTTGGTCCTTTTGATTGCCCGGGAGGGAAATGGGGTGATGGGAGCCATTTTCCCTACAGGACCGAGGCGGAGGGTTTGGAGAGTCCGGTGGGCTTGCCGGAGCGCGAGTCGGAGGCCGGATGGGCCTCGCCTTGCTACCGACGAGTGTTATTCCACTGGGGGGAAGGATAAAGGGAGTAGTAGTGCGGCACGGGGCCCACGCGCTCCCTTGGGACTCTCTGAGCCGGGGCCGAGGCCTTCACTCTGGGGCTCCTGTGTCCCTGTCGCTGATGGCCTCTCTAGGGTTCCACACCTCCTGCTCTAGCCCGGTGTCGGGGCACGGCCGTGCGGTGGGAATTTGAGCTTGCTGCTGCTGCTGCTGCTGCTGCTGCAGTTCCGGCGGAGCCGAGCTTCCGCTGGTAGATAGGACGAATGATCTAGTGTGTCCGTGAACTTGTGGCTCTACAGTTTGAAGTCGACCGACTTGGCGTCGCTTCGTTCCTTTGTATGTCCTTTACCTGTTGTATCCGAGCTAAAGGATGGAGAGAGCATTTGTCGTGCTATTTAAGCCTACTGGGACATTAATTGTGGCGCGTGTGGTATGTTTATTGGTGCTCTCGGCCCAACCCTTTTAAAAGCCTTTTCAAATGGGCATTTCAGGTGGTACTCGGTTGAGACGAGATGAGCTGCAGTGTACGCAGTTAAGTCGAGTTGCCCGGTTCATATTCCAGGATAGGGGAGGCTAACCACCAGTAGCAGATTCTATTCACTTTGTTGCATTTCAGATAATGATCGAATAAAGTATGTAAGAAATGTTTAAAGATAAGTAGGAATATTTGAGTTTGTAACAGAATCTAGTCGGAACTTACAAAGTGTTATTATATGCTTCAAACCCCATTGCGATTGATCTTTGCAGTGTAGTCCAGAAGAACTTGGTGGGGATCATCGTGCTTCAGCCTCCACAGTGCTGGTACAAGTCTATGCCAGACCCAACGTCATTCCAGCTTTTTGGTTTCTAATTTTAACCAAGGCATTAATTGGTACGCAAATGCCATCAGAAAGGGAACAGGACTTGGTACCTGGAACTTTTTTTTTCCCTTCCGAGACAGGGTTTCTGTGTAGACCAGGCTGGCCTCAAACTCAAGGGAGATCCGCCTACCTCTGCTTCCCAACTGTTGGGATTAAAAGCACGCGCCAGCACCGCCTGGTGGAACCTGGAATCTTTAAACATAAATTCTTTTGTGACTTTTGAGAGGTCTTCTGTGGCTCATCTTGCCTCTGATTTGTTATATAGAGGGCAATAACATGATCTCGAACTAATGATTCACTAGGCACCAAGTCCCAAACACTCGAATGACAGGTGAATGCCACTTACATGGTCTTCCCTACCTCCACCTGGCCAGTAATGAGATTATAGGCATGTGCCACCATCTGTGGTTCTGAATAATCTTTAGAGTAGTGGTTCTCAACCTTCCTAACGCTGTGACCACCAAACATAAAACCATTTTCATTGCTGCTTCATTACTAAAATTGTTCTAGTTACGAATTGTAATGTGGATATCTTATATACTACCCTTATGAAAGGGTGTCTGACCTCCTGAGGGTTTGTGGCCCACAGGTTGAGAGCCACTGCTTTATAACTACCTTAATATGTACCTGGTTAATTACCAGGAATGCAAAATGAAGTTGTGATTACTTTTTTTTTTTTAAGATTTTATTTACTTTTTATGTATACAGTCTTCTGCCTGCATGCAGATATCATTCAAGGCGGTTATGAGCCACCATGTGGTTGCTGGGAATTGAACTCAGGTCCTCTGGAAGAACAGTCAGTGCTCTTAACCACTGAGCCATCTCTCCAGCCCTGTGATTACTCTTTAGCTCTTGAGACTGGGAAATGACATTTGATTTACTTTATACTAGCTAGCTTTACTTAGATTTTTAGTATAGGACTTCCGTAGATATTTTATAATCAAAACTTCCTGAACATCTTTTATGAAGTTTACTAAATTCTATACCCCAGGCTACTCACTGAAGAAACTAGCTACACACTCAAGCTAGGTGTGCTGATTCCATGGTAACCATTATATCAACAGAAACGTACTCTGATTCTTTGCTCATCTCTGTGTTTTTATTGCTAGAGATCAAATCTGGGCACTCATATGATAGGAAAATGCCAAGTTCGGGTGGTGCTGGATTAAATCTAGTCTTGCACTAGTTTTCCTGGTTTTGGGGCACCAGTCCATGAGATTTGTGTTAATATATATATTGAGACAAGGTTTCTCTGTATAGCTTTGGAGCTTATCCCAGCACTTTATCTGTAAACCAGGCTGGTCTCAAACTCTCAATACCAGATCTGTCTGCTTCTGCCTCCAGAGTGCTGGTATTTTTTTTTTGGGGGGGGGGGTTGGGGCAGGGTTTCTCTGTAGCTTTGGAGACTGTCCTGGAACTAGGTCTTGTAAACCAGACTGGTCTCGAACTCAGAGATCCACCTGCCTCTGTCTCCCGAGTGTTGGGATTAAAGGCGTGCGCCACCAACGCCCGGCAGAGTGCTGGTATTAAAGATGTGTGCCACTACCAGCGAGCCCAGTATATTCTTAGTCACTTTTTCAGGCTAATGTTGGGATTCAGCATTATGCATGCTAGACAAGCACTATTGCCACTGGAGCCACAATCTTAAGGACTTATTCTCTAAGGAATAAAAAAATATCTTGCTAAGCAACTTAGGTTGTACGAGATTTATAGTCCTGCCCACATGAAACATGCCTGGCAAATACATAAAATTTTAGTAGTCTAATTTTTTGTGTTCCTTTGTCTAATCTAAAATTGTCTTGATCCATGGGATATGATACATGAGCTGAGAGACCTACTCCATAGGCCTTGAACGTAAGTACTTCTCCCTATTAAATGATGACATTATGACTATATCCAGAGCACTATCAGGTCTAGAATGTCCCCTTTCCCCCAGTGTATTTATTTGCTTCAAGAGTGCTCAATTATTTTTTTTTAAAGTATGCCTTTCATCCCAGTGCTTGGGAGGCAATGGAGGTGGGTCTCTGGTGCCAGGCTAACCTACAGAATTTCATGACAGGCCGGTGAGGCTAGCTAATCCTGGTTGACAGCCTAGCCCTTTATGGCTGTGTAGCTCTTAACTTGAAACCTTTTCATCACGTCTGATTTATTCATTGTATAGGTATTAAGCTGCACTCAAATATAGAGCCTATAGCGTCACTGAATTTAGCTAGTTACAACCTAACTCTACTAAGCCTCTGGAGAAACACTATTGGTTGTTCAATTTAAGAACCTCTTTTTCTGGGCCTGGAAAGATGGGTCAGGTTAAAAACCCAGGTTCAGTTCTCAGCACCAAGATTGTAGTTCACAACCACCTGTAACTTTAGTTCCTGAAGATTTAACACTTTCTTTGCATCTCTTTAGGCACTGTGCAGGCCAAAACAGCCAAAACACACCCACACTGAAAATGGCTCAGTGGTTCTTCCAGGGGACCAGAATTTGAGTTTTGGCACCCACAGCTCACAACGGCCTGAAACTCCGGCTTCAGGAAGCTGACATGTGGTGCAGAATATTCCTTTACATTGTGTGAAGATATGTCACTGTGATTGGTATAATAAAGAGCTGAACTGCCAATAGCTAGCCAGGAATAGGTTAGGTGAAACTTCTGGAGCCAGAGAAGAAAGTGGGATAGCCAGCCAAATAGGAAAAAGCAGCACGAGCAGTACACAAAGTTGTGGTAACCACACCAACAAACATAGAATAAAATAAGTAAGACCAGTGCATCCCATTTCAAAAAGTTCCAAACCCCAGGCTGGCTAACCATCCCTAATTACAGTCCTAGGGCAATGCCAATGCTATTTTCAGACCTACTACAAGCACTGCATACACTACAAGGTAGTGTTGGTTCCCCTTGCTATACACTCTGGTCTCTAATAGCAATACTGTGGGAGAAAAGAAGGAAAAACAGCATCTACATAAGTGAGAAAATTAAGTCTATGCACAAATTGCAATAACTGGGTCACTGAAGAGATGCCCCAGGTTAAGAACACTAGCTGCTTTTCCAGAGGAGCCAGGCTCAATTTTCAGAAGCCACATAGTGGCTTCACAACCATGTTAACTCCAGTTGTAGGTGGTTTCTGATGCCCTCTTTTGGCCTCCTTGGGAAATGCATGCACTTAGAGGCAAAACACCCATACACATAAAGTAGAAATTTACAAGGACTACTTTAGCAAGTCCTTTAATATCCTAGTAGGGAGGCCTAGAGTTCAAGGCCAGACTGGTCTATATAGTAAGTTCGAGCAAACAAAGGTTACACAGAGACCCTGTCTCAAAAAAAAAAAAATCCAACAATAATTTCAATAATTCTGGGGGGGGGGAGAGGGATCCAGTGTTATCTTCCAGAAACTTGAAATGTGAGGTTTAGTGTGATGGAAAAGGAATGCCTAATGCACTAAAAAATACTACTTGAACATTAAATAATTACAAATTTTGCATTGAGATGAGGTCTAGCTGTGGTAGCCTGGCTGTCCTGTAACTCTGTCATCCCAGGCTATCCGGGAACTTTGCCTCTATCTCCAGAGTGCTGGCATGAGAGCAAATGTCCATAAAGATGTGCCAGTACAGTCTCTTAAAACAAAACCTCACCAAATGAGAGTTTTCATTCTGTGTATGGGACTAACTCAACTTTTATTAGATAGGGTTTTCCAGTAACAATGTGAAAACTGGATC